GTATGTGGTAGCAGGAGAAAGAACTCTGGTGATACAGTAGTAAAGTAATCAACAAGTCACTGAAAGATCCCAGGGTCCAACCCAGTCAGCTTCCAGAAAAGACACATTTAGGGCTTTGTCCTAAAGGGTCAGGATTGGACACAGTGGCAGTAGGCGTGGTTTGGCTTTATATGAAAGGGATTTTCTGATAGCTAACATAATGCCGAAGACAAGAAATGAGAGCCCCATGTGGCATTTCTTCCCATTTACATTCCTTCCAGTAATGAAGAGAATCTGTTCCCCCACATCTATTTCATTAGAATTTGTGAAGCACCTGTCACCTATCATCGTCAGTTTATACATATTTCAGGTTTTCCTGATGAACAAATGTAATAGCACAGGGTCCATATGTCCACATGTCTGGGAGAGGAGACTCCACTTGGTTTTTTACCTACCTGTCTGGACTCCTTTTTCCATTTACTGTATGGAGTGTATCACCTTCTGTCAATCTAATTACATCTCTAAGAGGCGGCTGTGCTCAGCTTACTATATGACAATCACTGCCTTGTGAAAACATCCCAGAAGCCTCTGCAGTCAATTGATCTACCCCAAAAGTGTCACTCTCACCTAGAAAGCTGACTTCAGTGTACAGGCTTACTCATGATTTACAGAGTTCTCTAAGCAAGGAGTTTTCTATAGCGGAGCAAGGGGAGCTAGTGGTTTCTGTAGATCTCTTGCCTTATATTGACATACAGAATAAATTCAAAACAGACAGCTAGCTGATAGGTAGATGTATCTCCAGGACTCTAGCCCTTCTAAAAGAGTAATGATTTAAATGCAACCAGTTTCAGATAACCCAGTAAAGCTAGGTAAGCACACGTTTACTTATGCTTGCTAATCTGTAATGAACAATTTCACATATTTTTCATCACTTCAAAGTTTCTGCTTCTGGTATTTCTGGTGGATATCTCTCTCCCAAGCTCATAGCACCTTTCTATAAATGCAAGGTCTCTTCTCGAAGTGATAATCCCTGACCGGGATGGAGTACAAAGTAAGCAAGGTAAGAAGGGGTTACGTGTCCTTACCTTGTTTATTGGATAATCTGTCCCTGAGACCTAGATTACCTGACCATGAGCATTTCTAAAAGGTCATAAATGCTTTGCTAGCAGCAGATATTGTGATTCTGTTAGAAAAAGATCTGAAGGAGTTTTTAGTCATCCATTTAATAATCCCTTTAGTTTATATCAAATATTCATTACTGTGATAAAGACAGGCTTGGCTGAATCCAGCAGTGATCCCTTTGTCATCATTAAACAGCTGTAGCCTTTTAATAAAATAAAGATAGAAGTGTTCTTATAGCTCCACATTCACTCTGTAGCATTCAAGTCTGTGCCATCACTTCCATTTCCAGAGCTTTATAATTCTACCATAATCATTTGTTCTTGGCAGAAACATGTTCTACAAGCATTCAACTGAGGATAATATTTTTGAACATTTTTTAAAGTGTTCTGATTATGTGATTATGGGGAGTTGGAACCCAATATTAATTTGCTCTAGGATTTTGTGTTTGTGTATCTCGAAATGCTCCTTCTATAAATAACCCAATTTGACTTGAAGTAAGACAAGAGTGTACTATTTCATTACTTAAATACTGATTATACTCTTTATAGGATAATGTAGTCAAATGCAAGACGAGTTTATTAGAAGAAACTGAGCCATTGTGGTTTGGTTTTGTCTTTGCTATTTATCTTATAATCTCATCCTTTATCTACTTAAGAGTTAATATATTATTAAGAGTTAATATCATTCTTTAGATACAGAGTGAGCTACTGACCTAATCAATTTCTTAATCCATAAACTGCTAAGAGTTCTATTGACTAATAGACTCTTCCACGCGAACTAAATTTTGACATCTAGGAAGTGTCAATATTTTCATATTTAACATTTTCCCAAAGCTTAATCTCAGAAAATAGAATCACCTAATTTCATTTAGGTTACCATCAAGTCTGTTCTGACTTGTGAGGATACTGTCTGTGTCCGAGTAGGACTGTACACCACTGGGTTTTCAATGGATAATCGGGGTCTCCTTCAAGGTTCCACTTGGAAAAATAAATAAATAAAACACCTCATTGTTATCTAATCAGAACCAATTTGCAGCTGACTCTCTAGCTAGAATTCAGAAATTGTAAGTTGCAGAGGAAGAGACTGACTATCTTTCTCCCTAGAAGTTGATGGATTTGAACCATCTACCTTTGATTTGTCAGGACAACTCCTTGTCCACTAGGTCACTTGAGCACCCTGGCATCTCTAGGGGGTTTCAAATCACAAACCTTTCCGTTAGCAACAAATCACATTAACTGTTTACACCACCAAGGACCAACTCAATCTACTTCTGTAGTTGATTGTAAGTGAGAGAGCCCTACGTCACATCATCTATGTCAAAGATATGAAAAGGTTTGGACAATGGGTAAGTTCCACAGAAAGAGGATACGTATCGCCTGATGCTTGGGAACCGGTACTTGTCCACACTTGTTTAAACCTAGACATAAGGTTTCCCCAAAACCCTCATGAGAGACCTATGAGAGATAATGAGTTAATATTTGTGGAAATATTTCAATAACATGCAATTGATGTTTGAATTTATTATAAGCCAAACACAGTATCTACCCCTGAAAGCTTTGAAAGAATATTTAGCACACATGCGTGTGCCAGATGGATTATAATGACAGTTGATAGGCCTCTCCTAACCCTTGCGTTCTGTTGTCAAAAATCTGCGCATCAAAACAACGATAATTTTTACAATGAGATTTATTGAATAAAATATTTAGGTGCACAAATTTTTATAAAGTCTAGGTAAAACTATAAATTGGTGTTATATAAGGCTTAAAAGCTTTACGTAAGTATTTTTTAACATGCTTTATAGATATAGACAAATTAATTTTTTAAATTATCAGATACTTTCTTAATCTTACATGGCATTATCTAAATAATTTTTATGAAAAAAGTATAGTATATGATGCAAAACACTCAGTAATCATTCTTCAAAGCTCATGAACATACCAAAGATGGGAGGGGCGAGAAAGGAGAAGAAAAATAGATAAATAGACATAGGTGGGCCAAAACCCAAAATGCCCAAGACCATACAGAGACCAAAGTAAGAAAAAGAGAACAGAATGTTCTTTTTATTGAGTTAATGCTAACAAAAGACTTTAGAGCATATAAAATTAAGTTACCCAGTAAAATTATTATTGTTATTCTAAAACGTTTATGGCCTTCTTTACAGTATTATTGTGGGAAGTCTCTAGAAATACTTACTTTGGATAAAAATGATGGCTGTAGATCCATGATGAGGGGGACAGTTGGCCCCACCAATTATAAATTCTCCAAGATTGTAAATGTATATTTTATCATCTGTGTCAAAATATTCATTTTAATATTCAAACATTTTACCACATAATAAGCTGTAACCATATGTTTATTTATTATATTGTACCACTATAATATTAATAAATATTTACAGAGCTGCAATGCATCATAGAGAACTTAGAAATGGTAGCTCTTGTAGTTTGGTTTTCAGTGAAAATATCATTGCCTCATAAACTAATTTTAAATGTTGCATTTGTTACACATTGATAAGAGCCAAGGAGCTTAACTTTTTAAGAATGACACCCCCTTTTAAACTCGTGTTGTTTTATTTATTTTCCCCAATTGCATGAATTAAAGATGGAGTGTTATCTCAGTTTTGAATTCCTTAGCTTGATGTCACAGCTTTTGCTTTATTTGTATGTGAATCTTGTCTTTAATAAAGATGAGCATAGCTGAACTTTCCATTAGAGAGAGGCACTTTGGTATGCTTCCCTTTGTGGAACAGTATAGAACCAGGAAAATTCAGAAGTGTTGCTAGTCTGTTAATAGTTAACTATGGCAAGCTGTATGATTAAAAAGATGGTTTATAATCTATGAAATTTATCATTAACTCTGTAGGTTGGATTATGCACATTTACATTGACAACTGTAAGTTGAAAAATAAAAAGTTCTCCTGACTCATACTTTTCCTAGTTGCTACATGCTACATTAGTATTTATTCTTCTGTGACAGCTGTGACTAGACCATACCTACACTTGGGAGACAGGAGGTTCAAGATAAGGCACTGACTCTTCACTTTCATGTGTCAAGAGACAGTCTCCAGGTGATTGCTATTCAGCTGAAACCAAGAGGAACTTTTGCTAGTTGGATAGTTATTGACTTGGTTACCTATTTTCAGCATTCTTTGGCACCGTTACTCAGCTCATAATAATGAAGCCCTGAGCTCAGCTGTTTTGACTTTCCTTTCAGCCTGTATTTAGGCAGGTAGCTTCTCAGTGTTACAAATTTCAGTACAGATTTTCATGTAACATAGAACTCACAACTAAACAGAAGTAATTCTCCAAATGAGGGCAGTATCTGCACCTTAATCACATACTCAACGAAGTATTTTGAGTATATGACTGGGTCCCTTTACCTTGTGTTTGCTGTCCAGTGGACAAGATGGAGTCTCAGGACACATTTGTGTCAAACAGCGTATTCCATTCGTATCAGGGATCTGTTTTCAACATTTCTGCTTTTTGCCAGAATCACAGATTCTGAACTCATTGTGTAATGTCCCGACTTGTGATTTTTTTCTGTGGGAAGATAACAGTGTTGCAGTTTGCCTCCTTCTTTGTGCTCTGCTGCACTTGACTCTCACTAGTTCTCCAGAGCACACACAAGCTCCCTATCATGAAACTACCACCCTCGTACCCTCTTTGTTCATTGACTAAATTTAGTTGCCAGAAGAATATTCCCCTTAATATCTAATCATTCAATCTATTTAATGAGTGTGCTGTTGAAATGACTCACAGTTTCTCTCTGTGCTTTCTTTAATGTACTGTAGCCTATGTAACAACTACCTGAAGTGCTGGACCTCTTGAACTTCTATAACACCCTTGAATGTCTCTTACAGCCTTTCTCTAGGTTTGAACTTTCCGAATTATGTATTTCAGACGTTGAGAAAGAAGGGCCTTAATGGCTGTGACAGTCCAGACCCTGATGCGGACGATTCAGTAGGTCACAGCCCTGAGTCTGAGGACAAGTACAGGAAAATTAACGAAGATATTGATCTAATGATCAGCAGGCAAAGATTGTGTGTAAGTACCCCACACACCCTTCATTTGTTTTACTCTTGGTATTTCTCTGAACCTGGCAGGCATTGAACAAGAAAGAAAACAAAGGCTGTGAAAGCCCCGATCCTGACTCCTCTTATGCACTCACCCCACGCACTGAAGAAAAATACAAAAAAATTAATGAAGAATTTGATAATATGATCAAGAGTCATAAAATTCCTGTAAGTACCAAAGGTAGATAGCTGGTCTGCTGATAACTGCTGCAGTAACATACCTTAACCCTTTCAGTGACAGCTTTATCTAAGAAGCATTTGAGAGGCACTTCACCCTTTAAGGCAGTCCATTAGAAAAAGCAATCCCTGGGGGATGCTTGAGTTATGGAACCGAAAAGAGTTTCAATCCAGAAGTTCTTTCAGAGGGAAAAAATTCACAGGGGCAAGAGGAAGAGAATATGTGACACACCCTGAATTGGCACAATATTTAAAAGCACAGTCCATACCAATGACAACACTAGAATCTCCTTCTGAGTAGGCATAAAAGTTCACTGTAAAATGTATACACACACACTCACATGTGGGCCCCTTAATATTAGTTCAGGCAACTTTGGGTCACATGAACGTCATGATCCCATAAAATATTTGCCTTCTTTCTTTATTTTAAAGTGAAAGCAACTCCCTTTGTGTTTATATTTCCTACTAATGGTTTTTAAATACCCTCAAGCCCCCACAGGACACTTCCAAGGCACATCTCAGTCCCCACATCTTCTCCTTCCCTTCCTCCTTCATTTACCCACCCGCAGCTGTGTAGTGTGGCTCTCTTGGTACCAGGAAATGCCAGCTACAGCCCACTGCTCCTGTGGCAGGGGCGGGTGGGTAGCACTGGCCGCGTGAGGTGCCTGCTGGTATCAGTAGCAACAGCTATATAGGATCTGGAAGGGTCACCACCACCAATCTGGATTCTCCACCCACATACCGAATCCCCTCAGCCATCTCTCTGCATCCCCATTTACCCTCCTCCCAAGTGCCCCTCCTAAGCACACACGAAGCTAGTTCACCCTCCTGTATCCAATGGCTACAGCTCATGCTTTGTCTGGCAGGCTTCCATAAGGTTTTAATGTAATAGTTTTACAGGAATTTAATGATAGATTACACAGGGAGTCCTTGTATCTCATAAGACATCCACCCAACCTCTAAATCACACAGCTTCCTCTTTCCTAGAACATATAATGGACATTAAGTGACATTTACCTGTATATGTGAGTATGCATTTATACAGAAATACATACATATACATTTAAATGTGTATATATATGTTTAGAGAGGGCGAGTCCTAAGACCAGACACACGTGAGTCACCACCTAGCTAGAAGCTCATTACTGAATAAAACTTCAGCCCTCTCTATCCACAGAATTCCACAGCAGCACTGAAGGGTTAAAGCTAATGCTGGCTGCAGGGAAACAGACTGCATGAAAACCTAATGGTAAAATTTCAACATGTTTGTGTGCTGGGGTGATTTTCAAGCTTTATCAGAATATTCGCTTTGGCTACACCAATATATTTCATGCTTTAACATTTGGCTAAGTTTTGTCTTAACCAAATTAAAAAAAAAAAAGAAAGAAAAATTCTAACTATCAGATATATGCCTTGCCAGATATTTAAGAGAAATAACTGTGCATGTATTATTTTGTTGGTGACCTATATAGTGAAGAACTACATACTGTCTGTTATATTCTATTGACCATCAAAAGATCTCGATTTGTGTCAAAAAGTGATGAATTACAAGACATAGATGCTTTCTGAATAACCAGCCAATGCTAGTGTCTAAGCCCTAATTGTATGTAAGCTCCTTAGGAGATAATTAATTCCTTTCCCCAAAAAAAGGTTGGGGTTTTTTGTGGGTTGTGGTGGGTTTTTGTTGTTGTTGCTGTTTGCTTTTATTTTTTTTTTTTTTGTAAGTTTGCAAAACAGCCTAAACCTGAGAATCGAAAGAAAGACTACAGTGAAAAAAAAAAGTGCTTTGGCAATAACATGTGGAGCTGCTTGGAAACAAGGCCTTTAAACCAAATCCACAACTGAATTCACAGGATGAATTAATGCTTTACACTTAGTAGGTACCTGCATTTGATTAAATTGAACACATCAAAATTTCTTTGAAAAACATAGCAGAATTTCCACTTTCTGTCTCCATAAATATAGGTCTGCTTCCTTTGTTAAGTGGAATTATAATACACTGTATCTTGAAGGGAAGTTATTGTTGTCATTAGCTGCCGTCAGGTTAGTCCTGACTCACAGTGGCTCGATGTACAGCAGAAGCAAAGGCTGCTCTTTCCAGCACTGTCCTCAGAATCACTGTTAGGTTCTGTTGCATTGTTTCAGTCACTGTGTCAATCCATCATGTTAACGACCTTCTTTTTCACAGACTCTACCAAGCATGTCCTTCTCTGAGGACTGGTCTTTCCTAATAACATGTCCATATTACAGGACACAAGACCTTGCCACCCTTGCTTCTAAGGGGCATTGTAGCTGCACTTGTTCTAAGACAGATCTGTGTGTTCTTTTCACTACCCATTGTGTAGTTAGCATTCTTCCCCAACACCATAATTCAAAGGCATCAATTCTTCGGTTTTCCTTATTCATTGACCAATTTTTACATGCGTGTTGGCACTTGATAATATAATAGCCCAGTCAGGTGCTTTTTAGAGTCCTCAAAGTTTCATCTTTGCTCTTTAATATGTTAAAGAGGTTTTTACAATAAAGTTGCCCAAAGCAAAATGCCATAACATGACTCTTGTTTCCATAGGTGCTAAAAGTAGTAGATCCCCGTACAATGGACCCCTTCATAATTTCATTATTTTCCTGATTAATCATAATTTTCCTTATTGGTCCCGTTTTGAGGAATTTTGTTTTCTTTATGTTAAAGTGCAACTCATACTCATTACCAAATAGACGTGAAGGTTATGGTCTTGATCAGTAAGTGCTCCAAATCTTCATGTTCAGCAAGCCAGGGCTCTGTCATTTGCATATTACAGAGTGTTGATGAGTCTTCCTCCAAATCTGAGATCACATTCTTCTTCCAATACTCCAACTTCTCATGTTATTTGCTCAGCATACAGGTTTAAAAAGTATGGTAGAAGAATACAACCCTGCTTGAATACCATGAGAAAACGGCTTTAAAGGTTTCATCAAATCGAGTACTATACACAGCACCATTCACTCAAAGCACTTCATTTTTTTTATAACATGTAGTAGGGTATACCCATTATTCCCAGAACTCTTAAATACTAAAATATCACTTGTAATTGTGTCTTGCCCCAAAGAGGAAAAGAAACAGCTCCTTGGGCTGATTTTTAATTTTTATATCTGAAGTATCTTTTGCTATGAACTACAACTAGTTTGGAATTGTTCTACATCTATAAATGTGAGATTTTAAAATGAAAGCCCTTAGATGTGTCTGACAAGAGGAAACACCCCTGAACATTAACAAAAGGTCAAATATGCACCGCACTGCTGACAATTCTTGGGCTGAAGCAGCCAAATGCAGGTGGAGCTTCCCCGCTCAGCTTTCTGGGAGAAGGCCCATTGAGCATTGGATCATTACGCTCATACTTTCCAGAAAAGAGGTGTGATGCTTGTCTAGAATCCTTAACAATCTTTTTACCTTGTTGTGTAAAGAGTTCAAAAATCAAGAAACATGATTTCTTAAGAGGTGCAGCAGTATGTGGTAGAAGGATGAAAACCGCACGAGAGGGCACGAGCCTGGAGGGTGAGAAGGAGCCACACAGTTCCTGGCGGTGCCCTCAGACTCTTCCTCGCCTCAGTAAGTGCTTCAGTCTCCACGATGAAAAGCCTGGTTCTTGCACTCTGCTTTCAGTTGCTGGAAGTAAATTTTGTTGAAAGTTTCCACAGCTGCTAAAACATTTACATCAGGGCAAGGACACTCTGCCCTTTGTGTGGAGTGTCTCCACCTCTTTAAAAACATTACAAGATTATTTTTCTGTTTCAAAGACCTGGTTTAGAGAGTTTCCTTTTTAAAATAGAAAATTTAATATTGCAGTCACCTGTTTGTATAGCATAATTTATGCCCATATTCCTCAATTACATGAAATAATTCATGGATGATTTGCAATCTTGTTGACCAGTGTTTCCTCATGTGAGGTGTGCCATGGTTCATGTTGGGCTTCATGGCATGAAAGGAAAAAAAAAACAGTCCCACTTGAGGGACCAGAAATTAGGAAATGAGCTGAAGGAAGGAGGGGCCCAAGCAAGGCTGATGGAGAGGGAGCGGGAAGGGAGGAAGTGGAAAGAAACAGTGTACACAGTCTTCCAAATAACGGGACTATGAGAGAGAAATAATGCTAGGATAGAAGAGTGAAATGAAAAGCACTTCAGAATCCTTGTACAGAAGAGGAGGACTTGGAAAAAGGAAAACACTGAAAATATAGCATCCATGAAAATAACATGGAGAGCTGGCCTGAGGACCAAGGCATGGCAAGGGAACCAGGAGGAGATGTAGATGGACCAAGCTCAGTTAAGATGCAGGAGCGACAGAATGATGTTGAGTGGAAATGCCAAAAAGAAGAAACATTACTATTAAATCAATTCCAACTCATAGCGATCTTGTGTGTTATAGATTAGAACTGCCCTGGAGGGTTTCTGTCTACAGTCTGTACAAAAGCAGTTTACCAGGGCTTCCTTTCTTCCAAGACCATCAACCTTTAAGTTAGAATTCAATCACACCACCCAGACACAAACCACCAACCAGTGGCCTCTAAATTGACTCTTTAATGTTGCTTCTGTAGAGAGGACAGAGGAGATCAAGTACTTGAGAAGACTTGATAGGATTTGGAAGTTGGGAGGATTTGGGGATAGAGAGGCAAGGAGCTAGTCCAGAGAGTGGTAAGTAGCCTTGAGTAAATATATCAGAAGCTGTCACTCTTCTGTTGCTGTATGACTGCTTTCTCTGCTCGTTCTCAACAGCCTAGTAATGGTTGAGCAAAAGTTAAGGGTGTCATTAGTGGTGAAAGG